GAGAGAAAGAGAGAGAGAGATGGAGAGAAAAGGATGGGGGAACCCACTTTCGACTTTCCATGCTTCGCTATCCCTCCTCCCCCTCCCATCCCCCTTCTAAATCCTCCTTCGTCTCCAACGTGATTTGGCCAAAAGTCACGCGCGAGTCTTCCATCAACGCCTAGTCGGTAAATAGGGAGAGGAGGAGGGGCAAGGGGGGGGGGAGTCTCCGGTGTCTATTTTAGCGATTCATTTCATTTTTATTTTAAAAATAATTTTTCATTCTTTTGCCTCTGACGCCAAGCTAGTTTTGACTGACCCGCCTTAATGGAGGGGCGGACGGAGGCTCGGCTTTGTAGGAGAGAGCGTCGGAGACTCACAGTGAAGTGACATTCGCCGCAAGAAGCTACACCAAGGGGTCCCCACTAAAAAAAAACTCGTTGTGCACGTGAAAAAAATTACTCTCAAGATACTTCCAAACACTCGCGGTATATCGTTATAGAGTTATAACTCATTAACTCACGAAAAAACAAGAAATACTCGCTTAATACTCGCGGATACTCGCAAACACTTTAGGGTATGGGATGGGGGACCCCTCGGGACACCAAAACCTTATCCACGAGACTTTTGTCGTACTTCTACCAGCTTCTACGGTTCACTTGTGGAATCGTGACGATTGAGTGCAGGAGCGAACATGTTAACATGAACGTTCAGAAAATTCTTTCAGGCCAAAAAAAACATATTTCGTAAACATAGCCGAAGATGTGCGTACAAGCAGAGGTTAGGTTGTTGAAGTCTACACTAAAAAATTTTACTGCAAAATCTGCCTAGTAACTTCTAAAGTTTTGTGCTGTTGACTTTTTACTCAAAAGTTATTTCGTAGAGTACTGGAATATTTTCTTCTTGCTTGATAGTATACAACAGCGCAAAACTCTAGTAGTTACTAGGCAGATTTTCCAGTAAAAAATTTAGAGTGTAAGTATATGACAACCTAACCTCTGCTTGGTCGCACATCTTCTTCTTTAGTCTGTCGCATATACACCCAGAAAAATCGTTTCTTATTTCAAGTGATCAAATTTACTCTTAAATTACAAGCTGATATTTTCACCTGAGAGAAAAATCTTATTCCAACGACAATATTGCCTAGTTTCAATTGCGAATTTCATCTTATGTCAGCGTGCACTTTAATCAAGAAACTATTTTTCTGGGTGTAGTTTAGAGTAGGCATTTAGCACTATGGTATGGTATCACTTTTACTACCGACAATTAAGTCTTTATTTTATCAATGTCATATTGTGCCCGTACACTAACAACTAACAGACCACGAAACCAAACTTTATAGAAACAATCTTCGACTCAAGAAAATAAACACACACTGCAAAAAATTAGAGTCTGATACAGAACGACACAACGTTACTGTAGATGCCGCTCTTAGTCACTGCACCTAGGGTACAGAGCGCGTAGTACAGTGTTGCTGTAGCACCGGAAAGCCCAGGATTTATACGGTACAGTGTACGAATACGGCTCCACTGTAGACAGTTTTGCCTTACAATGGTCCTGTACATTGCTCCCTGTACCAAATTTTAACCATTAAAACTACATCGATGCTGTTATTCGAATAACAGAAGTTCCTGGAAAATAATTAGCAGGACGATCTGTAGTTTTCCTGTCATAATTTTTTGCAGTGCAGTTTGAATCTAGACCTAATTTTCTTACAAATTCTACAAACACAAACCCACTTCAAGCAGTATGCGTCCTGCTTGTTATTTGTTTAGGGGACGGCGCTGCGCCATGCCACCCCCGCCTTCTTCTTGTTCCTCTTATCGGGCACCCTCATCCTCACACAGTCTCACGAGGGAGCCCACGGCGTTGCGCGCCGTGTGTTCCAGTTGACAAGTAAGCGCCAACAACCAGCCCCGACCGCCGGCACTTCCACCATCAAATCCGGCCAAATCCGACGTTGTTCCCTTGCAAAAAGCGGCATGAGCAGCAGTATCAGCAGTGGCGGCAGCGACGGCAGCTTCATGCAGTGCGCTTGGGGGAGAGGAGTGGGGGTGGGTGGGGATATCGGCGTGCGAGAGTGGCGAGGCTGAGGGGAGGCGAGGCAAGGCGCTGCAAGTGACTGTGCACGAATTGTTTGCGCATAATTATACGGCGTCACTTAACTCCCCGCCTCCGCCGCCCCCTCCGTGTTCGGTACCGCCTCCTCCACAAGAATCAGGTCAGAGAGGAGGGTGGAGGAGTGGGGCACTGTTGCATGCAGCCTACCTACATCCCCCACCTTCACCTTCTCCTCCTCCTCCTCCTCCTCCTCCTCCCCTTCGTCTTCCATCGAACAGCAGCACCAGATTGTGTGCATGGCTGATATATTTAGTCCGGCGAGCAGGCTGAAGCGGGTCGAGGGTGACTGGCACAGCGCTCACACTGACTGACTGACTGACTGACGGACTGATTGACTGACTGACTGACTGACTGACTGAGGGACGAACGGACTGACTGACTGACTGAGGGGGGAGGGGGGCCTTCCGATCAGTTCTCCTACCGGCCGACTACTACTATACGTGGTACTGAGTGAGCGGGTGCATGGCCCCTGGCAGAGTTTTCATTCGGGTGGGTAATGCTGGCGCTCCCATACCCGTATAGTACCCACGTATAGTAAGTGTACGAATGGATATTCACACACCTGCAAGTGTGCGACATTCGTACACTTACTTGCGTTTCCAGTGCGGCGCGAGCGGAAAGACGCGACAGGGGGTAATGTTTTTTTAAAAACTTCTATCTTAAGAAATTTCTATCCCCAACCCAATTAAACTTAATTTAATACTTCACGAAAATAGCAAGAAATTAGTGTATTTTCACGACATGGAGTCCTTTATCCGCGATCAAATAGAAGTGAAAATATAATATTGTTATTTCTCTTTACATTTAGTTAGTGTATGATCTCCCTCGATAGTTGGCGATGATGCCGCTGTCACTCTTGCAATTATACCCGACTTATATTCGACGAAAGAATTAATTTCCCCCCTCGCGCTCGACTGACAGAGAGCCGAGCCGGCGTCAGCTAGGCCCTGACTAGAGACTACTCCGTTCCCAGCTCGGACAACACCAACACCGTCAGCGCCGTCGACATGTACCCCTCACCAAAAGGGAGACCGGGGACATGAAAGGTGGAGAGGGGCCGGGCCACAGAAAGAGAAGGTCTGCAGATACAAGATAGGGGCGGGGGGGGGGGGCAAGAACGTGTCGGCTAGCAGCAGTGTTGCTGTGCAGACACAAACGGCTGGGATCAGGGGAGCACCAACCAGAGCCCAGCCATTCCGGCCCCGCCACACCCCGCTTTGCCCATGGCTCCGGTCTGCGAGATTGTCTCCGTTCTAACAAGAAGCAGGGCGGGGCGGGCGGGGCGGGCGGGGCGGGCGGGGCGGTCCAGGCACACAGGCGGGGCGGGCACCAGGAACCCCACTGGGCACGACCCCGCCCCACGCCGCCACACTGCGTGTGACATGATTAGGGGCGGCAGGAGCCGTGGTCTATAAATACACGTGCTGAGAGGCGCGCCGCGGAGGCGGGTGAAAAGGGGGGGGGGCACCGAGGAGAGAAAGAGAGAGGGAGAGAAAGAGAGAGAGGGAGAGAAAGAGAGAGAGGGAGACAGAGAGAGAGGGAGACAGAGAGAGAGATAGGCGGGCAACGGCGGCAGAGGCAGAAATGCATACGGCCAGGTTACAGGCTATTTGCGTGCCGCTCCATTCGCCGCAACACAGGGTGCGAGGTGCGAGAGAGATGGGCAACGCATGCACCTCGCCACCGCCGCGCTGTCTGCCTTTGCTCAGAAGCCCCCCCCCCCCCCCCTACTTCCCCCGCACACATCTCCCGGAATTAATTTCAGAATAGACTCTACCCGGAAGGCTCGCTTGCGTAAACGAT